TGAAAACCAAATCACAGAAGGTTCCAGAGAGCTGACTTTAAAGTTCACACTCTGCCTGCCCACCTCACCCAGCCACTTCACCGTTTCAACATTTGTGTTTCCACTTTCCCAAAATTAAAGTGCCCTTTCTCTTGCTTACTCTCTGCACATCAAAGCTCCACTCGGACAGAAATAAAACTACTACTTCACAGTATTAAAATAGGTGATGATATTTTGTGTTTACAATATCTGTTATTTAAAATTAAACCATTTTACATCAATATTTTGACTTAAGAGACTTTTTCACTACTTCATCAACATAGTTCTGTAGTTCAACTAGCTCAGCACCAGAACAGCTGGTTCAGTAACCTCTCAGTTACACTTGATGTTTTTAACGTGGAAAAAATTCTCTGCAATCCTCATGTCACTGCAGAGCTGCGATCTGCAAAAAACAACCCCTCTTCTGCTAACCAGGCTGCATCTCCTCCTCCTCTATCACGGTTCACCAGGTGGGAAAAGAGGGACCCTACAGAAACCATACCAGTTTGCCTCCCATCACCCTTCCCGTCCAGCAGAGTCTTTCTGCTCTTCCCCTTCTGTAAAGCAGCTGACTTCGGCACATCCCACAAAGGCAGCAGGAACAAATGTGCTTCTGGAGGTCTACAGTGGGCGATCCCAGTGGGAAAGGAGGAGACATAAGAGATCTCCAGCATAACTGCATTCGTGGAAGACAGACACAGGTATTTTGTACCCAAATCTCAAGAGAGAGGTTTGCCTCTTCTGCCATGCCCAAACATGCACATCTGGTACAGTTTATTTCCCAGACTCCAGAGTCTGCTTCTTTGGGCAGTGTGACCATGAGCTACCCTGAGTTTGCCCTCTGTGTTGGTCAAACCCTCCACTGATCCCTTTCAACATCCTGCAGGGGGCGGAAAAAAAATCAGTAAAAGGTTCATTGACAGCAAAAGAATCAAAATTTTCTTCTGTCAATGCAGCACATAAATGGATTGGCAAAAGCTCTACCTTTATGCTGGAGGAAAGGAATGGACACAAGCACAGATGTGAGGTGAGCGCAGCTGCAACAGACAGCTGTTACATCAGCTTACATTGCCACAGATGAGCAGCTGATAACACCCAGCTGTCACCGACCCTCAGGTGACACTGCCTCAGTTCACCCATACCCATCGCGCCACGCTTCCTCACACCTTCCCTGAGGCTGCTCTGCCTGCAAGGAAGCTGTACCTGCAGCCAGAAGGCAGCGCAGTCCAGAACAGGAACCCTGCACACAGCCACGGCCATGGAAACCAGCTTTCCTAGTAAAGCCATCCTGCTGTCATCTGCTTTGTTTCCTTGAGGACTGAAGAGAGATGAGAAAATGATCTGCCGGACTGAATCCTTGGTCTGCTCTTGGAAATAATTGCACATGATGTCAAGAAGCTGAAGTTCCTGAAATGAATTCAATCTCTGAAAGAAAACAAAAGCAAAACTGCAAAATTTACTGGGGTTCTTGAGGAATTGAGAGCTGCTTTGGAAAAAGACAGGAAGAGTAAAGGCTGAGCGCTTCCCTCAGGTGTTAGAAACTCAGTCTTTGCACACAGTGCACATATTCAAGCTTTCTGAACCACCACTACATCTGCTTACATAGAAAAGCTCTGGGTTCTATTTGAATACCTGGATACCCGACTGGTGCTTCCTGTACCAGCAAGCACTGCCAAGAAACAGAGATGAGACTGATAGCAACACTGGGGTGAGAAATATTTCCTCCCTCACCAAATAACTGCACTAAGGGAACCACCAGGCAGCTCTACAGTGGTCACAGCTGGCCCCAGAAGCTCACTGTGCCCCAGGCCTGTGCCCCCCAACATTCCCCAGCAGCTGTGGTTTCTGGTCACTGCTCCTTCTGAGGTCCCCACCTCAGCTCTAGCCCATGTCCACCATCTAAAAACCTTCATACAGCTCACTCACAGCACTGCGAGGTTGTGGGCAGTCCCCAAGGGACTATGGCCCTACCACACCTCCCCAGGGCCTTGTCTGGTCTCCTGGAGTCCAGGCCAGTCCATCAGGGCCTTGCCAGACAAACCCCTCCCTGATAAAACTAGACCTTCGGTCACCAGCACCCCAGGGACCTCATCCTGTTCTCCGAAGGCCTCGGCCTCCAGCAGCAGCTTCCCCAGGGATCCTGCCCTGAGCTCCTGGGATCTCGGCCTCCACGGCCCCTCCCTGAGGCTACGGCCTAGCCTCCCAGGGCGCTGCTCGGCCTTACACCGCCACCCCCCGGGCCTACCCTGCCTCCTCGGGGCCGTGGCCTCCAGCATTCTTCCTAGGGGACCCTGTCCTCTCTCCCAGGGCCCCACCAGGCCTCACCCCTCAACCGCCCCCCGGTGGC